CAGTGCTTTCCTCACCACAGCTTGATCTTTTAATTTTTTTTCCCAATTTTGGGGCTTTTATGTTAACAAAGACTCAACTCTAATACAAACAAAAAAAACAAACAAAAAGAATAACTTCCCAAAATAGGAGGCATTTAACAATAATTACCTTTAGAGCCCAGGGCTTTTTTTCATTTGGTGTTTATTGTAAACCATGGTAGAAACTTAGCGTTTTATTACATGGAAATATTTCCTTTAAAACGTTCACAATTTTATATAAAGTTTACAATAAAATACAAGAAAATAGGCATTTAAAAATTTCATCAAGTAATACTCTGCGGTAAATTCTCTTCCTTGGTTAACAGGCTTTCTTGCAAGACCAGTTTCAGTCTTTAATACAAACATTAGGGGCAAAATCTTCACCTCAGTGAAATCAAAGGGACTTTCACCACTGGATGCACCACAAAGAAGAGTTAACTCTCCATTTCAAAAGAGACACGGCCAGTAATGCATATAGGAATGCTCTTGTTTCAAATTCAGGACTGAAAAACAGGAGAGCTCTGTAAACAGTATTCCTTGTTATTACATGATCGATACAAGAAAGCAATAGGAAACACTTGATCTTTTCAACTACATTTTCAGCCCCTACAGCACCCAAAAGCAACGCCTCCCATCAGGAACGCAACCATGAGATGTCCGAAAAATCGCTCCAATCTGTGAGAGTGACTAAGGTGCTGCTTAACGCCCTTGTATTCCCAGCTTCAGGACGGTCTGTTAAAATAACAAAAAAGTATGAACCACTATTAAGACTATTTTGGGGGTGGTTTTACTTGGTATTTGTCTATGAGATCACATCACATGCTATGTGAGCAAGCACCTGTGCACTTCAGGATGCCCAGAATTTCAACCAGTGAGGAAACGACAAGCGTTGATAATATGAAGGTTGCTTATGTCACAGAATGCAATGCACAGTACAAGCAGTCAGTGTCAACAGTCCTTTCCCTTTAAAAATAACCTCAAGTATCTTTATAGAACTGCCACTGCTTTAGCCTTTACTGATGTTGCAATGTTAGGGCTAGAAAGTACTAAGTTCTAGGTCAGATTGAGGCTACTACTTGGCCAGCAGTTCAAAGATTTATCTCAGCCTGGTAGGTCCCTTCGGTATCTTGAACAAACCTGAGATGTTATTGTGATTCTTAAGACAAAGGAAGAAAGTGTCCCTCCTCCCTCAAATTTGGGAAGAAAAAAATCCTGCATGATTACTTTTTAAAACCAGGTTGAAGCCTGAGAGTACTCTACGGTTTAAAATCTCAAATTTAAATTTCTTGGCATCTCTGCATATTAATGTGTGCGTGTTGTTTACTTACAAGTATGTATCGTCAATAGCATATCTGATATTCATATGACAGACAACCAAGCACACAGTTTTTCTTGCTGGTTCTTTTCTGACACAATACCATCTGTTGGAATTACAATGTGTAGTACACTATCCTTGAGTTCTCCCCTAGGTGGCTCAGTCGCTTAGGGCTTCTAATGTACAAGTATGAATATGTTACCTTCCTCCTTTGGTACACTTGTCTTTGGTACATGATTGCACCACAGATGAAGCATTTGACTTCTTTTCCTGAGCTGTCAATGCCTTCTGACCTCTATCATCTTTCGTCCCAAACAACTCTTCTTCTATGGCTGATACATCCCAATCATCATCACTTTTCGTCCCAAACAGCTCTTCTTCTAAGTTTGATATATTCCAATCACCTTCATCAACTTCTGTCAACTTCTGTTCTTTCACTTCTTCTTTCTTCAGAAATGCCTGCGCAACATGAATCCCTCCAGCTGGTTTGTTCTTGTTCTCATGGTCAGAAAGACTCTTCCCAGCTTCTTCAGTCCGTTTTTGAATAACTGCTCCTTCTGAAGTTTGGGTAGGTGTTCCAGTTTCTTCAATTTCACTTGCCTGTGTCCCATCCGTATCGCTTTTGGCAGAAGCCTTCTGAAAAGCACCGACTTTGCTCTTTGATGGTTTTGGTGTAGGTGCCTTCTGAGTGATGGCTGCTCTTGGCTCAGCTGAGCAGACAGCTGCTGAAGACCATTTCACTGTTTTTTGTGGGGTGGCAGATGAGGAAATTCCCAATTGATTGAACCTCTGCTTATCTACAAGAGAAGTTATAGATCTCATTACTAGAAACCATGTTTGGTATCTTTTCTATTTAATTTCTAAAATTAAAAACATCTCTGCTCCAGAATCTAGTTTTACAAAAAAGAAGAAAAAACAGTAATTTTTTTCCTCAAAGCAGTTAGGAGGTACCATGTATCTTGCCTATACAGGAGCTAAGACTGTTGCAGCTCAACACAATGTCAAGAACCCTTTCAAGGAAACTATGTAGTTGGCCATAACTATACAGAATATTTCTATGAAAAATTACGCAAGCAGCTATACAGAAATAGTGCTAAATAAAACCTCAAACAGCCGTTATAAAATGTAAGGGAATGAAAAAACCAAAAGCAAACAACTTTTTAACCTTCTGAAGGCAGCTGAGCAGGGCTATTATGAGACGATGATTTCTCTTTAACCCTGAAGCTAACTTGGCGTTCAAGATGCTCTCGAATTCGGTGAATGTCAGGCTCTTGCTTCCATTTGCATTCTCTAGCAGATTCAACAGCACGCAAAATTTCATTGTAGCGATCATTTGGGATACCGCCAACACCCTACGGAAAAAAATTGGATTGAAAACACGGGGGCTATTCCTTCTGGGATTTATATCCTACAAACATAGACTGTCTTTTAAACTTCAAATATCACAAAGCCTGTAGAAAAATCACACAAGTTGGTAACACTGCTCACAGGTGTGGCCATACCCTCCACAGCTGTAATTTGATGGCCATCCTCTCAGGTTAATGAATTACACTTCTTTGTAACACGTGGAAATTTAGCTTTGGATTTCCTAGTTGAGGGTTGTGGTACAAGAGTGAAGGAGAAGAGCAAAAAAGTGCGACAAAGATGACCCCTCTTTTAAATAACTCAAAATAATCTTACAGCTTTAATTCCCAAGGATTCCAGCTTCTCCTCCAGGGCTTGTTCAAAAACAACTCGTAATTCTTTAGTTGAAGAAGGATCAGTCTTCAAAGCATTTCTTAAAGACTGGTTATTTCTGCCTGGTTTACAATCAACTTTCTCAGTTTCTGAAATAAGAATGGAAAAATGCATTTAAGAGACATTTGAAAAATCCACAGGACATGAGACAATTAAAAACTGCACTGAAGCATGCATTTTTAGAAACACCATGGACATACAGGTGCCCTTTTTGTCTACATGGAGTTTGAGAAAGAAGGGAGCGCACATTGCAATAGCATCAGCACCAAAAATTTCCTAGTAAGTGCTATTCCCCATCAAACATTTTTGCTCTGCTTAGCTCAAGTGCCTTCAGACATAGGGAATATGCCTACTTTAAAGAGTTAGCCAGATTTTCAGAACAGCATTGAACTTGGATAAGGACATTGTAATATTGACAAGCACCAAGAGCAAAGAGGAGACTGACCCAAACAAGAAATGCTCCCACCCAAACCACGTAAGCCTACTGAAATACAACGAAAAATACTGCAGGTGTCAAATAATAGCTACTTTTTCTTTCCAAGAAACACAGGCCACTATTTTGAGCTGAATCAACCATTACCATTTTCCTCTTCTGGAAGCTCCTCTATGGTCTCCAACGCACACACCAAGGGTGCCCGCTCTAACAACGTGGAAGAACAGGAACACCAGACAAACAGGACGGAAGAAGGTCAAGGTCCAGAGTGGGACAGTTAGGCAAAAAACAAAACAAAAGAAAAAAATCAAACACACTGATGTCAATTTTTCTGATTCCTGACAATCTGCTTAACAATCACAAGCCCAATGCAACGTGACCCTGGACTGCCTTGGTGGCACATTTTTGTAGAGGAGACCCTGAGACAACAGTCACTGGAAGAGCGATTCAGTTGCCCAAACACGGGTGTCTGGTGTCATCTCAGCTGTATCAGAGTTTGAAGCCGTCAGCACAGGGCTGGCTGCTAACGTCACACAACTCGACAAAAACCCGTGCCCTTCTGGAATGGCACCCAGAAGGCAGGTGGGATGTTTTTAGGCATCTACAATGACAAGGCCACCTAGGATTAAGTAAATGAGGACTGTCATTCATTTCTCATACAAAGTATTTTAATTCTAAAATCTATTTTAAAAGATTGTTTCTGTGCAACTTGATACTAAAAGTTTACAAAAGGCAAGTGAAACGGACATAGAAATCCTCAAAAATATAACTAAAATATACGTTAACTCGTTATTCCAGAGAATTAAGTACTGAGTCTGTATGCGCAACACAGAGGGAAATTTTACATATATGCATATATATCTCTCTCTCTGAGATAATTTCCAATGAAACCACTACAAAAATTCTTCAATCACTCCAATATAGTGAGATTCAGTGTTATCATGTGCTTTAATGAAATCTTGAAGTGTCCTCTGCTGAAAACAGATTCCTAAACACATTAAAATTACCGTTCTGTAGGCTGTCACGTACAATCTCCTTTACAGGCTTCATTTAGCCAGAGTACAGTTAATTTGCAGTTTAGAGACTTCAGATATCAGATGCACGGAAATGCTTATATAGAGACTAATAAAAATCCAGGTTTGTAAAAATGTAAAAATATTCACCTTCCAGAAACTAATTTCTTGTATATAATAACGTAAGAAATGAATATACATTGCTCCTAGTCACTCCTCAGTTCCCCACTCCAGCTGAACCCCCAGACTGTGTCCTTGCCTTGCTGGATGGGGATCCCAGGAGGCTGCAGCAGGGCAGGAGGCATCTTGTGCTGCAGCAGATCACCTGCTTTGGACTACCAGGCTACTGGTACAACTGGAGATTACATCAGTCTTGCAGTTCAGATGCACCTTCAATTCCACTTTGTTCAGTGACACAATTTGAACCCTGACTCTCATCTCCAACCCTTTCTTGGCTTTAAAATAAATTTCAACTTCATACTTCAACCTATTCAGTCAGGCTGTGCTGCTGCTACCTTGCTTAAATCATCCTTCTTACCTCCACCATAACTCTCTTTTCCAATCGATGCCTGTTTAAGCCTAATCGTAAGCCTAACCCAAGTTCAGTGCTCCCTGTAAAGCCTTGCCTTAGCAATAACCAGATGTCTCTGGGTGATCCCAGCCCTTGGCAGACCCTGCCATAAAGCAACTTCTGCTGCTGGCATGAACCGCCTTAACTCCAAACCTAACCTGTGGTCCTCCCCAACAGTCCCACGCCTGAGCCTAACCAAACAGTATTGCTGCTAAATCCCACACCTAGCCCAGAGGCAAATTCTAGACACATCACCCCATATGTCACCAGCCAGCCTCAGTCCCAAACCTAGCCCTACCTTTATCCTCAGAAGAACGATTCCTGTCAGCCTCAGGCGTGAACCTAACTAAAGAGCACCTTCCAATACCAATATTTCAAGACTTACAAACAAACATCCCCACATATTTCCCTAGACAAATTCCAGGACATGCATACACCTATCCAGTAGATGCATACACCAGAGAAGCACATTTTCCACAAGAAAACATCATCTTATTTCCTCAGTTAGTTTCATTTACCTTCAAGTGCTTCAATACTATACACGTGCTAGGAAATACTCTCCAATTATTTGCTTTTCATTTCTTCTTTTCAGTAGTGCATCTTTACAGTTACTCTATAGGAATTCTCGATGCTGCCATACAGCAAAGCAGTTCAAATTACGTTCTCTCAATGGAACTACTCTAACAGCTGGGATTTGACAAGCACCACGTTTGAGAAGACAGAGTGTTAGATTTCAGCGTACTGGATCTAGACCTATCCCAAAAACTTACTATGCATCACTGGTAGCCTTGATTTAGATTTAGATTCTTCAACGTGCTTCACAGTAGTGTTCACTAAAATAGCATAAAAGTAAAAAATAAGGCAAATGTAGTAGAGTAAACAATAACAGACATATACAGATTCTTAAATGTAGCCATATTTAGCCCTATTTATAAATTACATCCTTCTTGGTTTTAATGGGGAAAAAATTAAACAAATTGTTTACAAAGTAAAAAATGGTCCTACTCAACATCAAAGTATGTGTCTATAGATGCTTAACAGTTTTAATACTTCTAGAATCAGGAAAAGAAACCACTAAGTAAATCACCACTCAACTGGAACGTGATCATCTCTCTGCTCACGTCTGTATGCTCTCCTTGTATGCCAGGGAAGAAGCCTTGGCCCAAAGTTCCTTAGTCAAGTCTAGCCTGATGGAGGCTTGTATTCCCCAAAGAGGATCTGCTGCCTCCACACCTCCTATCAATTAGTGCAAACCCCATTTGTATCAGGAAGAGAGTGTGGCCTTGGAGTGAATTAGCCCTTCAGTTCTACATTCCTCAGATCAGCTGGGGGCCTAGGAGCAAATTCGCTTGCGGGCCATGGTCTTATACTCGTCTGTGCTTCAGTGTGGCTGAGTATGAGCAGCTCCAGTTGAAAAGCCATACTACTACTATGCCCTCCTCAAACTAACCCACTCCCTGTGGTTAGAGTCAGTTCAAGCCAATGCCTTGCTAATAGAGCAAGATGCTTTCCAAACTGGGATTAGAATTAATTCAGCTGCCATCATTTATTGCAATTAACTTATTTCATGTCACTGCAAGGCCTGCCTCAACTATATGAGTGTTCGTGGTGCAGGACTACATCCTAAAACACTGTTACCAGGTTTAGCTATCCGTAATGGACTTGAGATGTTAAAGTATTGCACAGACAAAAATATCAGAGTTCTTAAAATTCTTTGAACAACTGTATCTTAGCTGACAAATTAATCAATTTTACCTCCTCTTTCAGTGTTTTCCCTTTGGTGAGTTCTGCAGCCTAAGAACAGTCAAGCATGAAATCACAATTAAAATGACACTTCATCAAGCAAAGCCAAAACTTGTTGACATAATACAAAATTATGTATTGCTAGATTTCACATCTCTTCACTACTAAAGCAATCAACTTTGTCCATTAGAAGTCCTTGCAGCGGCAAAGCAGGAACTTTGCAAACCATGGCATGGAAACAGGCAGGTACCTCGTGAAACACAAAGAAATCGCCAGTGCTGATTTGATTTCAGTCTTTAGTGAGCAAAGTTGATGCCTAGATCTTTTAATGAATTGTAATGTTTGTTTCAGCCAAGTTGCCGAAACCGGAAACCAAATCTGCTTTTTCTTGCACTCTGTACTTACCACCACATGGTTTGATGCTTTCAACTGATCTTCTGGACAATTCTTTTATCTAAAAGAGAAAAGACAGATACAGGAAGAGTTACCAATGGAAATGATCAAGACCTAGCAATGAACATTTAGTACAAAATACCTAGTTTCAGTACTCTTACACAGTACACAGAAATTACAGGGTTTGATTTGGGGAGAAAACCACTACTTGTGTGGAACTCTATTCTACTGCCAAACGTGTATTTCATTCATGCTTATTTCTGTTTGTTGTCTTAGGCGAACTCATGCTTTGTACACCCTGTTCTTACAAGCTGTAAAGTGAAATGAGAGTGGGCTTATGGGCCACTTCAGCTTCCTTAGAGCCAGTAGTGCCTCAACTACCTGTCCATTCTGCTTGGATTCTACAAAAGTGTGAGCTATTTCTCACGCCCTTCCAGTATCCAGGGTTTGCAAATGGAGTTCTTCACGGTTGTATTTCACAAACGCCAAACTCCCATCCCTCCAAACCCATTTTACAGCTGTGGTCATACTGTTTTGTTTACAAAGGTCACTTTATTGATGGACATTTGTCTAGGATTAAGTCCTCTATTGCTCCAGCTATCAAATTTGTTAAGGTGGAGATGTAAAAGCTATTATTTGTCTTTCCAGTTCTTCAAGCACTTAAGTATAGGTTTAATCTCAAGAAAAATGTGTAAAATCAGATGTTGATTTGTAAAGAAGGCACTACCTAATAGAGGAATAGGTCGTAAGGACCTATTGCCATAATCGTGCCATAGTCAAAACTCCTGACCACCTGGATCTTCACCCACCCATCACCTCAAAACATCTACAGCTCGGTTTGAACAAAAGTGTATTTTTCAGAAAAAACAATTTGTTTCCAAACAAATCATTTCATAGAATCCTGGGCTCTCTCAGGTTAGAAGGAACCCATAAGGACCATCAAGTCCAACTCCAGTGCTGTGCTTGATGCACCCCAGGACACGGAGGGCCCTTTTGGCTGCCAGAGTACACTCTTGGCTCATATTCCGTTTCATATTGAGAATAATTAATTAAATTATTACCGAGTGACAAATATGATACTTTCTTTTTAAGGTCAGAACACATCTATTTTCACATTTCAAATGCTAGATCTCATTATCACTATTCTGTGGCAGGTTAAATCCTGTTCACTATCAGAGATTTTTCATCTGTGGAGGTCTTTGGTTACTGCGACCTCATCCTCTTTTAACTTGGTGTGGAACTTCTTAAAAACATTCTGTTTGTTAAGCCTTTCCTTCTAAATTGCCTTTTAATTCCTGGTTTACATTCCTGTGTCTCTTCTCCAGATCGATTCTTCTTTATCAACACAATTTCCAAAGTGTAACCAAAATACTACAGCAATACCATTACAAATTGGGAATATGCAATATGCAACCAGAGACAGAGCAAAGACCAAACGCTAGTAAAATGTTTCTCTATGTCCTATGCTCTCTCAAACACAGAATGCTTCACCAAACAGACCTGCTGCTTCTGAGCAACAATCAGATCATTCTGCTCCTGAAGCCTCTGCCCCAATTCTTCTAGCCTCCTCTCGTAAAAGCTGTTCTTTTCATATAGGTCTTCTCTCACCGATGATTTAAACTTCTCAATTTCTGACAGGAGCTAGAAAGCAACCAGAAAAAAAGTAACTTCATATTAATATTATAGAAAATATCATTAAAATATTCTACGGTATTATAAAGTTTAAACAAGCAAGTGGCATGCTGAACTACTTTTCACATTGTTTTTCACCAAAAGCTTAATGTCTCCTGTGATTTCATGGGGACTTGCAGATATTACAAAACAGTCGTCTGGATCACTTTCGCTCTACCCAAGGAAGGCTACCGAAATCTCAATACAGAGAAAGGGACATACGAACACGTTGCTAAGATTGCCCAACAGGAAGACTGCAGGAAAAAGCATACGACTCTCTAAAAATGTTTTGCTTCTAAAGAGTGTCCAATAATGCTATTGGAAGGAGAGGAGATGCGAATTTGCATGATAAACCTAAGACCTTAGCTCTGAATGTAGAAGAAAGGGAACAATATTTGAGGTGCACCATCCCAAAAGTAGTACTTTTTTTTTTTTTTTGAAGTGGTTCACTGGGCCACTTACCAGGGACTTCTCTGCCTCATGGTCATGATGAAGGGCTTGTACTCTAGACATCCACTTACTTTCCTGCACAGAGGAAATCAATATTAGTTCCTGCTAACAATACATTAACATTTAGTTCGATAGATGCAGCTTTATTTCTTGTTCATAACACACTACCGTTTAGTTTGATAGATGCAGCTTTATTTTTCTAAATAAAGCATAAATACTGAAAAGATTGCTGATGATCTGAAACTTGAGTAACCCCATATTTAAGACCTAGAACAGTCATCAGCATGTTTCATGCATCCAAGTGTGGTTTTCTTGCCAATCACTCTAGAAACTACCTATTTGCTCCTTGATTTGTATCTAGAGTGACTGTGAGTGAGAAAGACACAAGTATTTTGAGACATCTCTGTGTATTAACAAGAAGAGGAGGAAGACCAGGGGTTTTTCCGCCCAAATAGTTATTTCAAGCACTCATTAACAACGTGTTTTGCGTAATGATGATAAAAAACAGTGTTAATAAATGAGCTTCAGTGCGCACAGAAGTTTCTTTGATGAAAACAAAAGCCATAAAGTAAAACTGACTAAGCTTTCCACATCTTTCAGCAGAAGCGGCCAAACTTCTGGATGATACCAGCAGGAGACCAAGACCTTCCCATCCCAAGAACCATGAAATATACAATGCACGTCTCAAAGGGTCACCAAAAAAAAAAAAAAAAAAGAGTGAAAAGGTTCATGGGTATTTCCAAAGGCCTCACAACTCATTTTTTTAATAGGAACAACCTGGACATGCAGGTGACTCTCAGCTCAATGCAATGACCTTGGCCTCAGTGGCCCTTCCTAGCTCAACCCTTCCTACAGGTGGGACTTTGGATTGTCCAACAGATTTGCACCAGCATCTGTGCTGCTCAGATGAGACAGTCCTGGTACAGAAGTTGCACCTGACAAGCTCCACCACTTCACAGGGTTCAAAAGCCACAGGGTGACAAATCCTGTCAGAAAGTTTCTTAACCTTTTTTTTCATCTTGGAAAACGGAAAATTCCAATTTGTCCGTAAGTGGCCTCATGGATCAGCAGACATAAAGGGTTTAGTAGAGCCTTCTGGAATTGAACTGCAACCATACTCGGTAAAGCTAGATAGATTTCATCATAAAGAATAAGATGATATCAACAAATAAACAACAATTAATTGATTTGGAAAGGAGAAGGGAAAGAATTCCTTGATTTCCGTTCTAGAGATTGTACTAAATAGTAGTCAATCTTTAAAAACAGCTCTTTGAGGCATTGAGAGGGATAAGAATTTTACTGAAGAATTTAAAATCCTACTCAGAGATGGAAAAAAACAAAAAGAACACAAGATGCCTGTGAAAAGCAATCCATTACTTTGACAGTGTTACCTGTTTTTCAAGAAGTTCAAGCACATTGGCAGAATCCGGAGCACTCTGAGGTTTCTCTTCTGGGAATTCTTTGCTGTCTTGCAGCGTCCCTAAACTGGATTTTTGCTGCAGATTGGACTTCTGTAATTCTTCCAGTAGCTGAAAGGAAGGGGGGAAGGAAATGAAGAACATGTAGACAGATTTTGTTAACTGTCATTTAACACAAAATTTACTTTAAGGATAACTATGCACAGATCGCATCAGATACTTCCCACATTTCCCACAAGATCAGCATTTATCAAATGTCAGGCTCTGGGAATGCCCTGCATGTTTGTTTTGTGACCCACCTAGACATTTACAATTCTCTTTTGAGTGAAAACTCTGGAAAGCATTTCCAGAGCATGTCTCGAAAACACATGTCTTTCTACTGTCAGGACGATCATGTGGAGGTTAGTCTCCTCCATGCCAGTTAGGAGAATCTTAATATAAGGATACTTTGCAGAGAGCAAGAAGAACAGTATCTACTAATCTCTAAAGAGGCATCCAAAGGGTGAGGAGTAAGAAAAAACCCGACATAGCTCCTGAAGGCATAATTCCTTCATCCAGAACAATACCATTAAAAAGAGAAAAGAACTGAAATTATGTTAATAAAGTACCAGTAGACAAAGATACAATTAGGGCTATCATCCAACTATTCTTTTTAGAGCTTGGTAAGAAGACCTCTAAGATGACTACATCACATTTCAAATACGTGAAGTTTGCTGCCGTCTAGGCTAAAGGGTTCATGAATTAACACGCTGGAAAACGTCCATCACTTACCTTTTCTAATGTGGAAGAAGATATTCTTGAAGATAACTCCTTAAGCTCATTCATAATAATCTCTTTCACTTTTTTTAGTTCATCAGCCCATTTCTCTTTTTCCTCCTCTTTCCATTTATGCAACAATTGCAGAATTTCTTCTTGTTTGGATTTTTGCTGCTCACAGTCCTGAAATCATTGTAAAACATTCTTTGTTTTTTTTCCCCACATCCAATACGAATTCAAGCCCCTAGATGATGCATGGGAAGCAGTCATTTTCAATGCACAATGTTTTGACATCAAAAAACATAAACCCCACCAGTTTCTGAAGAATTCTGAGGAAGCAAACTAGACACTTTGCTAGCAAAACAAGTACACTTCCAGAAGTTTGGGTAGTTCCTTATTTTTCATTGAATAACACATGAACAACCTTACTTGGTCCTATCAAAGGTCCACCTAGTTCAGCATCCTGTTTCTCACAGAGGCCATAAGCGTAGGGGTGGGAAAGGATACTACCAGGGCAAGCAAACACGCCTGGTCTCCTTAACAGTCTCCAAGCTGCCAGTTATTTCCAGCTCAGAAGCATTCCTCAGCCCGATACACTTCTGTAAACTTAGGAACCTTCGATCCATTTCTCCTCATACACTTTTGCGGTCGGCCCTTGGGGCTGCGTCAGCTTTTAGCAACTGCAACATCTTTTGCCAATGAGCTCCACAAGCTGCATGAAGAGCCGAGTTCATTTTTGGGGTTTGAATCTGGCTCCTGCTAGGTTCGTTTGATGGATGCTAAGTCCTGAACTGGAAAAGAGAAGCAACGATTGATACCTAGTCACTCTCTGTAACTCAGGACTTCGCAGACATCACTGTCTCACTCTCCATCTCTACCAAGCTGTTGTCTCTTTTTCACACTGACAGCTCTGGGCATACTCAGTCATTCTAAAGACAGACCGATCATCTTTGTAGCCCAGCTCCACCACTTTTCAAATTCTGTCACAGCCTTTTGCAGAGGAAGGGACCAGACCTCCACACAGTATTTAGGCTGTGGCTTGCACAGGGATTTTTCAGAATAATGCCTCATATTGGATTTTCTTTGCCGGCTGCTACTAAGCACTGGGCTGACATTGCCCTGGAACTAGGTATCACAACCTTAAGATCTTGCCCTTCAGTAACAACGCTCAGCTCAGAACCCATCATTTTGGACGTCAAGTTAGAATTCTTTTTCCCCAGAGACATTGACGCTGCCTCATCTGTGACATAACTCTTACCATTCCATTACCTGCTCACTCAGTTCTGGATACTCCTCAACTTATTCAAAGGCCTGCATTTCACTGCCCAGAACATACACACTGTTGAGGTAACCTCTGCATCGCTCCATCACAGCATTCACTCTGAATTTGTTCTCTAGTAACTCGAACCAGCAGTCATTGTACACTTAGGAAGAACGAGATCTTCTGTTCCCTTTCACTTCAAAGGAGTAGAAGGGACCAAGAACTGGAAGCATGACAGTCTTCATCCCAGTTCCCTCCAGTAGACATTGTCCTTCAAAAAACACAGACGAAAGATCTTCCACTCTTTCAAGCAAAAGACAACAGAATGAGACCTGAATTGACAGGGGATGTCAGTCATGGCAGACAACTGCAGCCAGTCACACTTCCCATTTCTATCTTCCCTGACATCCCAGGAAAAAACAGCACCTTTGAAAGGTTCTTGTTGTGTAACACTGCAGGCTGTAGCTTCAGGACATTTCCGGCAGTCCCCTTGGAGTCAGGAGTCTCAGCTAAGACAAGGGACTTCAAAATACACCCCTAAGGCACCAAAAAATCCACTCTGCACTATTAGCAATTCCCCAAGTTCCATCTCACAAGAAAAACAAAGCTTCAGGAGCAGGAGAAAGATGTTCTAGACGCACCTCTCAAAAGTGAGGTGGCACAGAAGGAATGAGCAGAATACTGAGCACATGTCCACCGAGGGCCAAGGCCCATTCTTCCAACAGTGCTTGCACTCCTAAGGGAAACTCGACTCACGCTCTTCATTTGGTCATTCAGTACTTTTGCAAAAGGGGAAAAACCAGGAAGAGCAATGGTCCCAAGAAAAGGGAACACGAGGACTGAAGAAAGGAGAGTTTGAAGCTGTGCTCAGGGAAAAAAACACTGCATGTTTTAAAGAAGATCAGGTTTTCCTCTGAAAACAAGGACAAAAATAATTCATGATAGCCATATTTTGTTTAAAAGTCCAAAGTATGAATTCTTGTGAGGCACTCGCGTTACTTCGTACATATTACCTTCAAACACCTGACCATATTAGCCTGTTGTTCAGCCTCTAACTGGGACTTGGTGAGCTGCAACTGCACCTTCAGTTTATCCATTTCCTCCTGCAATCTGTCTGTCTCTGCTTTCCCCTTCTGCCCTGTTTGAGAGAAACACAGATTTTAAAAATGTTTGTTGTCATGTCTGCAAACGTGACACTTGCTGCAAGTGCGTTTCTATAGCGTTTCACTAACATCCTCCCGCAGTGTGACTCTCTTCGGCCAGCTCCCCTCCCACTCCCACGATTCTCCAAAGACACTTTTAAATGCGGTATCTTCTCTGGACTGCTAACTTCTCCTCAAAGACTCAACAATACCGGTATTACTGACATGCAAAATAGTTCCGGAACTATTTACAAGAGAAAGTATTCCAGAATCTGACTTCAAAGGCATCTAAGCAACACAGGCTCAAGAAAGGAGCGATGAAGGACAAAGGGAACCTCAATTCTTCAATTCTGTTAGGTTTAGCTTATTCTAAAGAACTTTTGGAAGGAGTTCATTTGGAATACAACTCGTTATTGCTCTGGAATGAGTCAGGGGGAATGTCACTGTCAAAAATCATGTTAAAATACACAGAAGTTGTAACAATCTTTCATCTTGAAACATTTTATCGATTTACCAAGCATTTACTAGCCCATCATCTGGGAATCTGAGCACGATGGAGAAGATTATTTCAGAAATAACTGCATGGAGAATTTCCGTGGACTAATTCTTTAGACAATAATTAGATCAACTGTTTCTGCACCATCTTCTCT